AGCTCTTCAGCTCAAGGCTAGTGCTCTACCACTTGAGCCACAGTGCCACTTCTGGCTTTTTTCTTTTGCTTATGTGGTGCTGAGGAATCGAACCCAGGACCTCAGGCATGCAAGGCAAGCGCTCTACCACTGAGCCACCTTCCCAGCCCCTTCAAGAGACTGTTATCTCAAAAAAAAAAAAAAAAAAAAAAAGCTAGCTGTGGCTCAAGTGGTAAAGCCTTAGCCTTGAGGCAAAGACACTCAGGAACAACGCCCAGGCTCTGAGTTCAGTCCCCAGGACTGGCACCACAAAAAATAAATAAATAAAAAGAGTCTTCCAGACTTTCCTTCCAGGGCTGGCTTTGAACTGGGATCCTCAGGCCTCAGCCTCCTGAGTAGCTGGAGTTACAGGCGATCGACAGGGCACTCGACTGAGATGGCATCTCTTATCTAAATGAAGGCTGCTCTCTTCTTGTGGAGCCTTGAACGACAAAGCTAAGGGACGAAGCCCGAGCCCTCAGTTCAGGCTTCAGCACTGGTAGATGTGTACGTGTGTACACACACACACACACACACATCCAGCTGGCCCAGGAGCTGCAGCCATGGTGAGCATCTGGGTGGGTGTCTGCACAGAACTGTGGGTCCCGGGGTCACTTAACATTTGAAGAGCGGGTCCTTTGTGGGGGGGAGGGAACACCCCACTCTGCACAGGGGTGAGTAGAGGCCAGAGTGGGGCCACGGGAGGCTCACACCACCCTCCTCTTCTGCCCCCCCACCGCCCCCCCCCTCCCTTCCCTCCTGGGACCTTCAGCCCCGGCTGGCCACCGTGAGGAAGAGCAGCCTGGGAGGTGCCAGCCGGCCCGAGACTCAACAGGAAACGGGGTGGGGGCTGGGGGAGGGAGGTGGACAAGATTATTAATCTCCTGATTAATAACTGGTGGGGGGGGGAATGTGGCAGGGGGGAGGGAGGCGAGGAGAGGTGGGGGGTTTGTACCTGGGACCTCCCTCCCCTCCCACAGGCCGCTGGGTGGACAAAGGGGACAAGGCTGGCCCTGCTGGGGGAGGGAGACTTGGGTTGTATGGGGGGAGTGACCCCCTCTCCCTTCCTTCCAGGAAGACTGGGCCTGCTGGGGGGTGGGGGGGGCAGGAAGGGAAGGCCTTCTCTTAAGAAAGTATTTAAATCCAGGATTTCACGCAGCCTCTCCAGCGGGCGTCCTGGGGTGGGGTGCGGCTGGCAGGGGGCCCCCCATCTGTCAGGGGCGGAAGGGGGAAGCAGCTGAAACCCCTCTGCTCAGCACATCTGGAAATGGTTGGCTCTTAATACCATCAAAGTCCTTGGAGGGGAGGGGGGGGCTGGCCCGGGGAAACTTAACCCCTGCGGGCCTGGCCCCCCTGCCAGCCACGGAGCCAGCCCTCCCTCCCCCTCCATGGCAGAGTCCACGCCACCCCACCTTACAAGGCACATGGCATGGGCAGTGGGGGGGTCTTCCCCTCCATGGCAAGAAAGGGAGGGGTCATATCCTGTCCCAGAAGGGGAAACTAAGGCACAGAAAGCCAGGCCAGGCCCACCTGGTCTCTCTGCGTTGGGGGGGAAGGGGTTGGCCCCAATTCTCTCCTTCCTCTCCCAGCTGGGGCAGGCTGGAGTTCTGCCCCGCCCCCAGCCCCCTCCAGGGCCGGCAGTCAGTTCTGCCCTCCCCCCCACACCCCTCCCCTACCAAAAGCCTCTACTCCACAAACATGGACTCAAATGTCGCTCCCCAGGGGAGCACCAGGACTCTGTCCCCCCCCCAACTGCTTGTATCTTTGGTTAGCAGGATGCGCACACTTTCACGTGTACACACACACACACACAAGTAAGAAGAGGCCTGTGTTGCTTCACATTCTTGAGTCTGGCTTTGTGTTCCTGACAATCACTGGGGGTTGCCACCCTAGCCCCCTACCTGTAATATATACACACTGAAGAAATACAAAGCACCCAGCCAGGGGCGGAGGTAGGGCCTGTAATCCCAGCAGTGAGGCTGAAGCAGGGAGATCAGGAATCTGAGGCTGGGCCTGGACTATATCAGGAGATGCTGTCTCAAGACAAATGAATGGAAAAGCACAACTGCCCAATGAGAAGATGCACACAGGAAACAGTTGTACACGTGCACGCACATCATTTCATCATTTCACCAGCGTTCATCCCGTGTGCACGCTTGAACTCGGTGCACCTGAGTTCTGGGTCGTGACGGGCATGCAGGAGACCCTGAGCCCACCTGCCTCCTGGCTGGGGGTGGGGGTGGAGGTCAGGAGGTCAGCCAATCTGTGTCACCTGCCTGTCTACCTCTGCTGAGGCTGACTCCAAATCACTACGCTCACATCTCAGCCTCCTGCATAGCTGGGAGTCATCAGCACCCAGCTGGACAGAGGCAGAATCCACGTTAGCCCAAGCTGGCCTCTCATTCATGATCCTCATGCCTCAGCCTCGTGAATGCGGGGATTACAGGAGTGCAGCCCCATGCCGAACCCCCTGTCCTCCTCTTATGTGGTCGAGTCAAGAGAGCTGGGGCAGACACAGGCCCTAGAAACAAAAACACTGCTCCACTGGGGAGCGCGGAGGTGGACCAGGAGAGGAAGTTTATAACGGATCCCGCCTCTGCCTCCAGGCTCACTTTCCAACTCCTTTTCCCCACCAAAGTCATAAACAAACACAAATCAAAGCACCAACTTGCTTCAAAGAAAGGAGAGAGCCCCCCACTCAGGCCCCACACAGCTTCAGCAAGGAGTGAGGAGAAATTAGACAAGAGAACAAAAACCCCAGCCATTACCATGTGGCCAGGCTTGCTGAACTGGAATTAAAAAAAAACAAACAAACAAACTGAGCAAGTCAACTCTGGAGTGGGGGAGGGGGTCCAGTGAAGGCAGGTCACCCTGGAACCTCTGCTCGAGAAATTCAAGAGCAGAGCACCCCACACGTCCTAAGGCGATGTTGTGTCTGGAATCCACTTCTGATTCTGTCAGCTCAGCTCTCAACTGCAAGCTAGACTCCTGCAGGACTTCCCCCACCAGCAACCTTGGTGGAGCAGTAATCATTGGCCTCCATTTTACAGCTGGGGAAACTGAGGCTCAGAAGGCAAAGTCTAGCCAAGGAAGGACACCAGCGGGGGAAGTCTGCTGACAGGAGAAATGGGTGTAGGGGAGTGATACTGATCTGCGAAGGAGGCCCACGCAATGCATGCACCCCCTCCTCTGCATGCGCAGCCAGAGCCCCACAAATGCACACACACCTCCCACGTGCAAGGCCGCGGGGGAGGTGGCCCGCAGGCCGGGGTCCTTACCTCACGAGGTTAGCGCAGGGCCCTGGCCACCGGCAACTCTGGTACACGCGCTGGACCACCGTCTCGGAGCCATTCTGCACCTGACAGGACACCGTCCGGGTCACCGTGTGATGACACCAGTGCCTGTGGGGGGCGGGGACACCGGTCACCTCCACCCTGCTCATGGCCACTGCCAGCCAGGCACAGGGGCTCACGCCTGTCCTCCTGGCCACTCAGGAGGCTGAGATCTGAGGATCAGGGTTTGAAGCCAGCTCTGGCAGGAAAGTGCATGAGACTTTTTGTTGTTGTTGTTGTTGGTTGGGGGTTTGAACTTGGCCTGGGCGCTGTCCCTCAGCTCTTCAGCTCAAGGCTAGCGCTCTACTACTTGAGCCACAGCGCCATTTTCAGCTTTTTCTGCTTATATGGTGCTGAGGAATCGAACCCAGGCGGCCTCATGCATGCGAGGCAAGCACTCTACCACTGAGCTACCTTCCCAGCCTGCATGAGACTCTTATTTCCAATGAACCACCACCACGCACGCCTGAAATGGAGCTGTGGCTCCACAGTGGCTCAAGTGGTAGAGCGCTAGCCTTGAGTACAAACACTCAGGAACAGCACCCAGGCCCTGAGTTCAAGCCCTGGCAGCAACACACACAAGAGAGAAAGAGGGGGAGGTGGGGAGGGAAAGTGGAGAGAGGCGATTCGCTCCTGCACGGGCTCCTGTCCTCTGAGATGCAACGGTTCTAGGCCATCTCTGAACATCACATCAGGCCAGGGGTTTTAATAAGGAAAAGCACCAGGAATTGTGGTCATTTCCCTGGGCCTGGAGTCATTCTGTCACCGTCTCCAGACCTCCATGGTCTCCGTGGGCTGTGGCTGGCTTCCCGGACCGTGAACACTTCCTCAGAAGACAAATAGGGTGATGCGAGACCACCTGGATGGAGTCCAGGGCCTGGCTCACCCCAGCAGAGGCCTGGGGGACTCCTGCTTCCGTACCTACCCCCTTCCCGGAGGGGGGCTCCACTCCCCTGGGAAAACACCCACCCCATTGCGGGCCCCCCCCATTCCTGCCACTCCCACAGGAGTATGAGGACAGGGGACTCTGGGACTGAACACTGAGGCTTTCATTGGGGGTCCCTGGGGAAAATCAGGAAATCCTGTCTTGAGAGAGACCTCAGGGTGTCCCCAAAGCCACCACCCCTCCTGAGTGTCATCTACCACCTAGTTCTGAGGCCACCTGCCATAGCGCCTCAGCCTCAGCTCCACCCCTACCCTTCCTGAGCCCAGAGACCCCAGCCCTCTGCCCTTGGGGCTCAGCCTGGACTCCTCCAGACCCAGGGCTCCCCCCAGCTTCACGTGGGCCCCAGCCTCCCTGGGCCCCCAGCCAAAGCCCATGTGACACCCCCATTCCTCATCCCACACTCCCCACACTGTCACCCAATATCCATCATTCCAGACACAACAAGACACACCACGGTGCCCTGCCAACACTGCCACCCGCCGGAACCGGCTCCTCCAGCCCCGTCCCTGCTCCCTGAGCCAAAACCCAGAAAGCAAATTGCCCTTGACTCTCTCTTCTCCCTCCCTCCCTCCCTCTTCCTCCTCCCCAAGACAATCCATTCCCCCAATCCAGTCTGGGTCATGCTAACCTTTGACCTGGGCTCTCAGCCTCAGGGCAAGTCTCCCTGCAGGTCCCCTCCCTGCCACCAGAGAGCGCCCTGGGCACCCCAGCCTAGTGTGGTGCAGTTCCTCTGGGGTCCCCCTGGGTCATCCTCTGTCACCTGGTGTCCCAGCCAGCCAATTTGCCTCCCATTTGGTCTGTTCTATAGGCCTAGGGTCCAAATCCTGGCTCTCTCCTCACCTAGACACCTTCTCCCACCAACCTGGTGCTCTCCGGGCTGTGTGAGGTGAGGCCCTGACCCAGCCCCGCCTCCAGGTCCAGGACCCTCCCCCCCCCCCAGTATATCCTCAGCCACTGTCACTCACCCAACCCACCCTGCTGGTCAGAGAAGGGCTGTGTGCCAGGCCCAGATCCCCGCAAGGTGACCTCAAGGTCATATGCCTGGCTGTTCTAAATACCTGGTCACCCCTCACCCCATTTCCAGACAAGCCAGAGCTGCAAGCTTGCTCTGTCAAGGCAGTTTGGATATTCGGGAGGCTGAGAAGTGAGGACAAGAACCCACAAGGAAGGATGGACACATAGAAAGCCGCAGAGGCATCGGGCAGTCGTGAGCACAGTTGGGTAGGGGCCAACACCACACATAATCTGCTGGACCTGGGAAATGCAAACTGACTAGAACGTTCCGGGAATGCCTAGTCCTTTGGAACTCAGAAGAATGGAGAAGAGAAAGGGTGCCAGGGGCTTACTTACACCTGTCATCTTAGCTACTGGAGAAGAGGCGTGGCGGGGAGGGACAGCAGGGCTCAAGTCCACAGCCATGGTGGCTTCCCAAGACCGCATGATGACAATGGCTTTGGCCTGATGGTTTTGGCCTGCTCCCCAGCCGCTGTTTACAGGTGAGACGGGACGGGCTGGAGGTAGGCCAGCAAGCTGATGACAGAGCAGGGGCCACAGCCAGGGCCACTGCTCTTTGCTGCTCTTCATTTCCTCCTCCCAACCTCTTGCAATCAGGGAGGCTGGGGCTGGGGGGCGGGGGGGCCGATAAGAATCTGAGGAATGTGAGTGTGGGAAAGACCCTGGAATTCTGCACTTGATGTCCACCAGTCCACCAGGTAGGGAAGGGGGACAGTACCCTCTCCACCCAGCCAGTCTCTCCCTGAGGACCACCTCTATGACACACACCACTGTCTGGGTCTCTAAGGAAGTCTTTGATTTCCCCCACAAAGGCCCTGGGTGTTTCCAAGCAACTCAGCAGCAGGTGGGAAAAATGTGACTTAAAAACCCATCCTAGGGGGACTGGAAAGGTGGCTCAGTGGTAGAGCGCTTGCCTTGCATCCATGAGGCCCTGGGTTCGATTCCTCAGTACCACATAAACAGAAAAGGCCGGAAGTGACTCCGTGGCTCAAGTGGTAGAGTGCTAGCCTTGAGCACAGAGGGACTCAAGGACCCTCCAGGACCCAGGACCCGCAAAAAAAAAAAAAAAAATCCTGGCTGGGTACCTCTGCCTCCCACCTGTCATCCTAGCTACTCAGGAGGCTGAGATCTGAGGATCACAGTTGAAAGCTAGCCCAGGCAGGAAAGTACACGAGACTCTCTAATCTCCAATGAACTGTTAAAAAGCAAGAAGCTCAAGTGGTAGGCTGCCAGCCTTGAGCAAAAAAAGCTCAGAGACAGCGCTCAGACCTGGAGTTCAAGCCCCAAGACCCACACAAAATAAATAAACCATCCTGAGTCCAACCCTGGTCACTCACTCCTATAATCCTAGCACTTGGGAGGCTGAGAATGAATGAGATCAAGGTTCCAGGCCGGCCCACGCAGAAGAGTCTGAGAGACTTCATATCCACAGAAGAAGGCTGGACACGGCGGTGTACCCCTGGAAGCCTACAGAAAGTGGCTCACATCTCAGACACTGGGTAGGAAGCGAGGGCTAGGTCAAAAATAACCAGTGGAAAGCAGAACTGGAGGCATGGCTTGCTCAAGTGGTAGAGCACCACCCTAGCAGATGTAAGTCCCCTCGTTCAAAGCCCAAAGACAAATAATAAAATAATGATGGTGACAACAGACAGCCATTCTAAGCTTTCTTCTTCTTCTTTTTGTCGGTCGTGGGGCTTGAACTCTGGGCTTGGGCCCTGTCCCTCAGCTCTTCAGCCCAAGCCTAGTGCTCTACCACTTGAGCCACACAGCACCACTTCCAGTTTTTTGGTGGTTTACTGGAGATAAGAATCTCATGGACTTTCCTGCCTGGGCTGGCTTTGAACCATGATCCTCGGATCTCAGCCTCCTGCGTAGCTAGGATTACAGGCGTGAGCCACTGGTGCCCGGCTGATACTTTTCCTTATGCAGCAAGACTCTGAGGAGTCAACAGCATGCTGAAAAGCGGAAGTGCAAGCTGATCAATAGAACCATGATGCAAAGGCCATATAAGTAACAGGAGGGAGCCTTGCCCAGGCCACACCCCTTTCCCCAGCTCCTGTCAGTGTCTGTCTGTCTGTCTCCTTTTTGGTGCCAGTCCTAGAGCTTGAACTCTCAAGTCCCAGGTGCTGTCCCTGAACTTTTGTGCTCAAGGCTAGCACTCTACCACTTGAGCTGGCTTTCAGGTGGTTCATTGGAGATAAGAGTCTCACAGAGCCGGGCGCTGGTGGCTCACGCCTGTAATCCTAGCTACTCAGGAGGCTGAGATCTGAGGATCGCGGTTCAAAGCCAGCCTGGGCAGGAGAGACCGTGAGACTCCTATCTCCAATAAACCACCAGAAAACCGGAAGTGGCGCTGTAGCTCAAGTGGTAGAGCA